ATAGATAGATAGATAGATAGATAGATAGATAGATAGATAGATAGATAGATAGATAGATAGATAGATAGATAGATAGATAGATAGATAGATAAGTAAATAAATGCATCCACAATACCCTGCTGGTCTTCAGCATTTCCTCAGTCACATCATTCCAGATGCCTCTCTGGAGACAGTGAGTCAGTCACTGAATGTCTTGATTTATCCTCAATTACCTTTCTATTCCCATTCACCACAGTTGCCCCAGCCCTCATCACCTTCCCGGGGACCTCAGCTGTTTTTCTCACACCCAGTCTTGCTCCTGTGTACCTATACAACAGCCCAAACAGACTTTTCCTCTCCTCACCTTAAGGACTAAATTCAGGGCCTCATGCCACAGAGCAAACTGTTTCCTTGCTGTGTTGGAGATTGAACTCAGGGCCCTGCATGTTCTAGCCGAGCCCTCTGTCACAGAGCTATGTCCCTCGCCTGAGAACAGTGTTTTAAAAAAATGAAAGTCAGATCACCTCACTCCCTCACACTTCAGGATCTTCCTGTGCTTCTTGTGTGTAAAGCCATTCTCCTTAGTAAGGCCTACAGCCCTCCTGGGACCACTCTTATATACTCTCCAACCTCATCGGGGCCTCCCACAGCTTGCTGCCTGCACCCCCCACCACACCCATCTTTTTGAACACATCACTGGCACGTACCACTCCTCTTTCCTCCTGAAGGCTTTGTCTATTCCTTATGTCTTCCTGGCTCCTCATTCCTCCTCCCTTTCTTACTGTCTCCTTCCCTTTCATCAGTCAGGAGTGCAGCTGCAGTCTGCATGTGGCAGGTGTTGAGTAAACACCTGTGAGGTGAATGAATGCCACACGCCAGAACTTCAGCTCAGAGCCCGTGCCCCCCACCCCTCTCCTCGGTGCTTCAGATTGACTTAGGGCCTTATCATACCTTCTGGGCAAGCACTCTGTCGCTGAGCTACACTCTCAGCCGATGTGGTGGTTTCTCAGAGTGCGTCAGACCTGCAGCGAGTTTCTGAGGTGCTGTCGTCGTGGGCATGCGGTGGCTCTGTCTCTCACTTTGCTGCTGTCTCTTGCTCTTGGCTTAGGGCAGCATCTCATCACGGCAGTTGCTGACCATCTCTTCGGGCTGAAGACAACATCATGGTGAGTAGAGGGCACACACAGGGTGTGGCAGGTCCCTGACTCCCCGCTTCTGTTCCCAGTGATGGGCTAGGATAGGAAAATAAAAGAAGGGACAGTGTTGAGAGTTGCCTGTCTTCTCTTCTCAGAGACCGGTTCGTGGGATGGCCTTATGCTTCGTAGGAGAAGCTTAAGATGAGAGCAGACCTTTGCGTGGGAAAGGACATAGAGTTTAGAACCCAGAGCTAAATCTG